TCGTGCACAGCCTCATCGTGCACAGCCTCATCGTGCACAGCCTCATCTTGCACAGCCTCATCATGCACAGTCTCATCGTGCACAGCCTCATCGTGCACAGCCTCATCGTGCACAGCCTGCAGGACCGTAGGTTCTGAACAAAATAAAACAAGATAATGAGAAATTAGAGCATTTTATGTTTATATCTAATAATCGATTACACTCTGAATGATGAGACTGTGCCAAACAGAACCATGGCCCAGTAATTATTCAACAAAAATCTACACATGAAAACCTCATTAGTGACTGTCCTAATCTGCAACAATGTTAGTCTGTTGACATTCAGAAATGCACAGAAACACAGACTTCCTTTGTGGGTTCAAATACTGTAAGTTTTAAGAGTTCTTACCAGTACAACCATCAGCACCAGGCTCCATTCACCATCATTTGGAGAGAGGACAGTGGCTGTGGACACACGTCCATTGTTTGGACATCAGCTGGACGTTTCATCCCTTCGTCTTTTTCTCTTGTAGCTGAGACACAGAAGAGAGCAATCATGAGGTGCAGCAGGAAAGCATCACTTTGTTAAACACAGGATCACGAGAGCCTCAGTTCAAGTCAGTAATCTTCTATTTACCGCTCATATTTTCCATCGCTGTCTTTGCTGGACTTTGTACCATACCACTTTATTTATAAAGCCCTTAAAACAGCAACAAGGCCAACCAAAGTGCTTTGTAGAGTAGGAGAAGATGGACGGGACAAAGTCAGGACTGTGGATGTCTTCAGAGGCCACTCCTGAACAAATGAAGTGTATTCCAGTGACTGACGTTAATGGAAACAGCACACGGTTGGCCAGCGCTAACTGGCATAGCATGTGTTAGCACACAGCTACATACATGCATACAGCTTTTAGCTGATTTTTGTTACCTTTCTTTTTTTAGCCATCCTATTCGTTTAAAAACAATCTATGCCTTTTTATAACTGTTTATTGTTGTCCATTGTTGTCATCTTTCTTTGTTAAATCAGGTCTCTCTTGTAAATGAGTCCTCGAGGCTCAATGGGACTAACCTGAATAAATAAAGTTTGAATGAATGAAAACAACTTTACAACAACAAATGATCAGCAGCTCCACTCAGCATCACTGAACTAACATATCTGAGCTTGTAACTAGCTACACTCGTACCTGAGGGGTCAGTTCTTCATATCTTTGTATATAGGACTCCATAAGCAGCGATGCTTGTTAGCGAGGCAGACTTACCTGAAGATGAAGTGCTCGCTGCACATTGTTGTAGTTTGAATCATCTGCTCGTTCCAGTCTCCTCTTCTGATGGTTTGCAACCACAGACATCTCCTGTCAGCCTTGAAAGGCTGCGAGTTGAAGGAATTTTGTAAAACTTGTTTTATTGTTTTTATCAAAACGGTTGGTGCAACCTACAGCACAACACATGATCGCTGTTTATTCCTGCAGCAGACATGCGCAGTGTCCCAGGAAGTGACCCGGAAGTGACGTTGACTGATAATCCGTCTATTGCCCGTTTTTGTACTTGATGTTGGATTGAAGTCATTTTAAAAAGCAGGTCAGGTTTATGAAGTCCTAGGTGGACTTCCTGTTTCCTAAGACCGTTCTGATCTTTATAGTTCATTCAAACCTCGTCACCAAGGAAACGGTCTTTTTACAGCAAACCTTCACGATGGTCATCAACTTTACACTCAGGGTTCAAAACCAGTCTGACAAAACTGTTTATATTGTGGACCACAAACGCAGCAAACTGAATTTGTGTGTGTGTGTGTGTGTGTGTGTGTGTGTCAGTTGAGGATGTGTGTCTCTGTGTGTGTGTTCCTTTTCTTTGCTCTCGTCCACAGCAGCTGGCGTGTCAGCGCTCAGCAACGCTCTGATGAACGATTACAGAGGCTTGACCCTGAAGTGCACATGAACATTGTGAGTGCCATCTGTTGCCATGGAGACAGGTGTTAGAGTCCAGGTGTCACTAAGCTCCGCCCTGGCAGCGGTAGATTTTTAAAGTAATTGCTGAGCTGGTGTCTCTAGGACTTTCCTGTCTCAGTTGTTTCCTTCCTGCAGAAGAGCGGCAGCGTGCACGTGTGTCAGGTTGTTGACTTTCTGTGTGTGTGTGTTCAGACGGAGATCATCCAGAGGTGGGGTTACCCTGCAGAGGAGCATGAGGTTCTGTCAGAGGACGGCTATATCCTGACCGTCAACAGGATCCCTCAGGGGCTCAAACCCTCTACAGGTCAGACTCTTTTGGTTCTACAGGTTCTGCAACAACACGGAAGAAGGAAAATAAAGTTCACTCCTGTCACCTGACCACAAACAGGAAGTTCACTCCTGTC